CTAAATTTTATGTAGCTGATATGACCATGTATGGTTTTCTTATGAAAATGCCATAGCAACATGAATACTTGGTACTGAAAAACATCTTTAATTGACAAAAACTTTTATTCTTAATTTAAACTTAGCCTTCAGTTAGAGTGAAACATTTAAATAGTTTACTTGAAGACTTTATGTGAGCCAAAAATAAAACCTGGGCCTCATAATTTTTGGCCTAATTTTCTGCCCACTGTCTGACAAATTATGGTATGGTATATATAGTTCTTTTTTTGTTTTTGAGACAGGGTCTTGCAATGTAGTCCAGGCTGGCGTTGAACTCTGGATCCTCCTGCTTCAACCTCCCTGGTGCTGGTATTATAGATGTGCACCATTGTGCTTAGCTCTGTACTTTTTAGTTCTTATATAGAATCCTTCATTCAGGATGTCCAGAGCTTCTTGCATCTTCTTGATCTTCAGAGCTACTGCTTGAGTAGGAAGGAACTTAAATATAAAAATGCTACACTTGAAGCCAAAAGGAATTTTTTTTTTTTTTTTTGCGGTACTGGGGTTTAAACTCTGGGCTTATACCTTGAGCCACTCCACCAGCCCTTTTTTGTGAAGGGTGTTTTCAAGATAGGGTCTTGTGAACTATTTGCGTGGGCTGGCTTCGAACCTTGATCCTCCTGATCTCTGCTTCTTGAATAGCTAGGATTACAGGTGTGAGCCAGCTCAAAAGGAAATTCTTACCCAGAAATTGCTGATCCTTTTTTTCTCCTAGGGTCTTACTCTCTACACGTCCTTCCTGTTTTAAAAACAGGGAGAAATATATATGACACCTTTTGGTCTACACAAATTATAGATAAGCTTTGACGATCTCTAGGAAGCTGTTATTGTTTCACCAAGAGAACTCCCTGTGGGCCAGTCCTTAATGTCGGCAACTGCTGGGAAAAGGAACACACATATCCACACCCTTACCTTAAACTCTATGTTGAGAAAAAGGAGTCTTTGCTATGACAGTAGAACAGCTCTCCCTGGCAGCTGCAACTGGGACAACTAATGTTTGTTAAAGCTGCAAGTCATAATTTATTAACTATATTAATAAGTGTAAGGAGATCAATTAGGAGAATACTATACTGCTCAAGGTGGCTGATGCAATGCAGAAGAGTAAAGATGGAGCTTTGAGTCCAGCCACCTTACAGTGAAGTTCTCCTGTATCTGACCCTGTCATCAGAAGTATGAAACAGATAGTGCATGTAATGACAGTTACAACAATGACAATCATGATTGTAACAATATGATTCAAATAATAAGACTTGAAGAATAACAAGAGATGTCAGGCAATGGGGAACACTAAGACATAAAGAATTAGAGGGAAGCTTAGTGTGTTACTGCAAACCTATAATCCTAACACTCAGGAGGCTAAGGCAGGAGGATTGTGAGTTTGAGGACAGCCTGGGCTACATTAAGAGATACTGTCTCAACACCCCCCCCCAAAAAAAAACCAACAAAAACAAAAAAATGAATCAGAATTTTGTTTTTCCAAAGATCATGGCATATACTGGTATTTCAAAAAGTTTAAGGTCTTATTTATTGAGACATCAAGTATTATAAAATAGGCACATGATGAAATACCCTGAACCACTCATCCTCAAACTCTAGGGTTAACAAGTATGGGAGATTACTAGGTGGGCATGGTGGAGCACACCTGTCATCCCTGTACTCAGGAGGCTGAGGCAGGAGGATCGAGACGTTGAGGCCACTCTGGGCTATGTAGAGAGACCTTGTCTTAAGAAAAAGAATGCTGGGTTCCGTGGTCAGTTTCCCACTCATTGGGTTCAGGGTACATTCAAGAATCGCATAGCTAACAATTTCCCAAGAAGTGCAGATGGTTTTGGTTCCAAAACCACACTTTAAGCCTTTCTGCAAAGGGAGAGGATGAATGTTTATTGAGAAGGAAGGGAAAAAAAACCAATTACTTAAAACTATCTTGGGCCAGGCTTGGTCAAATGTTTACATAGCTTATCTCATTTAGTCCTCACGACATCCCAAAGAACAGTGGTTTCTCAGACTCTTCCAGAGCAGAGAAGAATGAGCACATCACACAAAGGGCACACCTAGGCCGTCCTCCAGCAAGATGAAATTTCTTCAGTGACTCATCTTAAAAATTCATATAAATTTTTGCATTGTTTCAAATACTGCTGCTTGTTAGGAATTAGATATAATTCTAAAAATTATTTATCTAATTGCTCAACTCTTAGACTCAAATTGGCCTTTGGGAACATGAGGAAGTGGATGGCTGAAACAGCAAGTAAACAGATGATTTTAAACTTGTATCTCCCTAGGCCTACAGTTCTCTACAGATAATCACATATCACTACTTTAGTCTGCCATGCCATGTGAACGGTTTATCAGATTTCTCTCTACTGCTCTTCTACAGATGATCTCCTGTTCTAGCCAATGTGGACCCTTTGTTGTTACTTAGGCTTTCATACTTTTTCTGTAGAAAAGTGATGGCACTGGGGTTTGAACTCAGGGTTTTGTACTCACAAAGCAGGTGCTCTACTGCTTGAGCCACACCATCAGTCCATTTTGCTCTGGCTATTTTGAAGATGGGGTCTTGAGAATTTTAAGGCCAGTCTTGAACCTTGATCCTCCTGATCTCAGCCTCCTAAGTAGCTAGGATTACAGGCATGAGCCACTGGCGCTAGCTCATCTCATTATTTTTTGCAAGTGGAAAGCTTCTGCTTTCATTTTGACCTACCAGAATCTTACCATTCCCTTTAAGGCGTGGCTGAAATGCCCCCTTGTCCCTCTGAAAATCAAATGGCATTTCTATAAGGCTGCTGGACTAATTGCCTCGTGAATTCATGTCTCGACTGCCCAGACATGGTTTAATGCCAGTGGATATGTAATTTTCTTGTAAATTCCTTTGTGCAAATAATCTCAAGGGCCCTAATTTACACATACCTCTGCAAAGAAATGGTTCTATATGACAATAAAGTTATAAGGGAATTCAAAAAATGTTTAGCCAGGTGCAATTATGCACATCCATAATCCCAGTACTTGGGAGGCTCAGGCAAGAGGAGTCTGAGTTTGAGATTTGAGGTCAGCCTGGGCTACATAGTAAGACCCAGTCTCAAAAAAAAAAAAAAAAAAAAATAGTACTTGAAAAATATATTTAAAAAAGAAATTCCCAAACCAGAAGCTTTAGATAGTGATGAACTTTGTGATTCTGAATTAGCATGAAGTCTAAAAATGCAGAAGTAATAGACTTTTATAACTGGAAGGGTCCTTGAAGGTCATTTAGGATAAGCCCGTCTTAGAGTAGAATTTTTGGAACTTGCTTTATATTATGATCAGAAGTCCCATTTGTTTAGTTAATGTTTTAATTTCCATTTAGTTGGGCTTTGGTTTCTTTTTTTTGGCAGTACTGGGGCTTGAACTCAGGGCCTCATGCTTGCTAGGCAGGTACTCTACCATTTGAGCCACTCCACCAGTGAGCTTTGGTTTCTTTATATTGTGATTTCATTGCTACCTGAAGAAAGCTTTTTGTATTGAAAAATGGATTTTTCCTGAAGGGCCAGTAGTGACTTTGGTCCAAAGGAGAGTCCTTTGATTTTAAAGGTCAGTAACATTAGTGATGCTAATTCTGAAGCTCTGAGAAATGAATCCTTACCCCCAACTGCAATTTTTCATCAGTCAGACAGCCAAGCCACAGTCATGGCCAAGACTCTTGAACACTCATACTCAGCAGGGTGGCCTTTGCTCCATTTGGTCAGCACTACTTTGGACACTCAGAGGTATCTCACAATCTGATAACATCTTGGTTTAGCCAGAAAGTGAAGAGAAAGGGTTATCAAGGACATTTATCTTTTCCACCTGTGACATGTTCCTCTTAGTCCCAAAAAGGTCATGAGCAAGACTCTACAGGCAGGACTGAGTGTGACCTTCAGCAAGTTATTTAACCTTTGTAGGATCTAATTTCCTATCTGTACAAGAGAAATAATAAGAGTACTGTAATTATTTAACAGGTAATTGGTAGGTTTCAGGGGATTGCTTGTGGCACATTTAGGACAATGTCTGGCACACAGGGATAGTAACATCAACATACCATGAATCAGATTCTCTTCTCTATATAGATTTCACTCCTTCCTTGTTCAGTTATGATACCAATACTGACTCCTAAGATTGCATCTTTAGCCCAACTTCTTTCCTGTGTTCAAGACAAGATTCCAGAACTCCCTTGAAACCTAAAGTAAATCCCAAACCAGATCATTACCTGGCACTGAGTATCTGACCTTCCTCTTGACCTCTGTGCCTGGCTACCCAGGTGGGATGAAGTCTTTCTTTCATTCTTTTTTTTTTTTTTTTTTTGTGGTGCTGGGGTGGAACTCAGGGTCTTGTGTATGCTAGGCAAGTGCTCTACTACTGAGCTGTATCCCTGGCTCTCGCTTTTTAAAATCAAAATTTCACTACATAGCCCAAGCTGGCCACAATCTCAGGATCCTTCTGCCTCCCAAATGCTGGGATCACAGGCTTGTGCCACCACAACTACCATCTTTTTTGGGGTGGGTGGGTACTACTTCTTTTATCTTCTAGTTAACCAGCTGCCAAGTCATTCATTCATATATTCACTTACCAAGCCTTTCAACTCTGGGTACACTGTGGTGGACAAAACTTGGATGGTTTCTGCCCTTATCTACAAATACATAACTACAAGCTGTAACATATAGTTAGAAGAAAACTTCAGTAAGCAGGAGAAAGTGTAACAGGGACATAATTTAAAATGAGAGTCAAGAAAGAACTCTCAGAGGAAGTGACAATTTGAATGAAGACCTGAAAGGTAAAAAGAAGTCTGTCAGGTAAGTAACAGAGGGAAGAACTTTCTGGGTAGCAGGGTCAGTGTGTACACAGGCTCTGAGGTGGGAAAACTTACTGCCCTCTCTGAGGAACTAAGAGAAGGCCATGTGGCTATGGTTGTGGACTCGCTTGAGATGAGGCTGGGGCAGCAGGCAGGGGCTTACCAGCCAGGTGTGGAAGCCCCTGAAGGGTTCTGAGCAGGAGAGGCACAGGATCAGATCGCCCAGGCTGCTTTTGGAGTGGACTGGAGAGGGCAAGAAGAGAATTAGAGACTAGTCAGGAGGCTGCTCAGGTGTGTCTAGTGACAGATGGCTGGTGATGGAGAAAAGTAGATGAATTTGAGATACAACTGGGAGGTTATATTGATAGGACTTGGTGACTGGGATGTAGGCAGAGTGACAGGGAGGTGACAAGGTTGATTCTCTGGTTTCTGGCATGAGCTGCTATATAGATGAAAGTGCTTACAGAAGAATCTACCTTCCAAATGATTCTGTATTGCTAAAATCTTACACAGATTCCTTTTTTCTCCTCTCATTAGAACTTCCTACCTAGATCGCTATTCCTTCTTATTGGTTTTCCTTCCTCTTGTCCACAATGATTTCAAATCTCCCTATGTTATATTATCTTCCTAAATACAGCTCCAGTCACATTATTCCCCATTCAAAAAAATCAAACAACAACAGACTCCAGTGGTTCCTTATCACCTACTTAAATACGAATGCTGTAGCTTCGTTTTCAAGGTTCTTAAAAATTAACAGTTCCAGTCCTATTTTCCAACACTTCTTTACTTAAGTCCTAGTCAGTTGAACTGGACTACTTACAGTTCTTTGAATGTGTCATCAGACATTCCTACCCCAGTGCCTTTGCTCATGCTCTTCCTTAAGTCTTTCCATCCCCATCTACAGAAACCATACTCAACATCCAAAGTTCACTATTTATGAAATGTCCCATCTTTAAATTTTATAATGTTTTTTACTCTTTTACAACACTTAGGTTTCTGCCTCTTATTGGAGTTATTAGTATACTTATCTTATGCTCACTCCCTACCCCTTAACAGACCACAGTGTGCCTGTGAGTGCATGGTTCTATTACTCACTCTGCTCCCACTGCTCCTGCCTTTCCAAGGTCAAGAATATTGCTTCATCCATAGCAGTTACATTTTATCGAATTTTTTAAAACAGTTCGTCTTATTAATTATGTTAAGGAGTGATGAGATCCAAGTTGTTGAAGACATGTTACCCATTAGCATTTGTCAGCAGGAGGGCTCATGGCTCTTTAGCACCCTTTCAAACTCCTTACAATCACCTGTAACACACACACATACACACATACACCCTTTTAATAGTCTTTTGGCTATTCAAAATACCCTATTATAACAATCCACGTAAGTTTCCTCTTTCCTTGAAGTATCGAATATTAAAAATGAGAAAGGGGAAGGGGATGCAGCTCAGTGTTTGAATGTTGCTTAGCATGCATGAGGCACTGGATTCATTCCCCAGCACACCTTCCCCAAATTATAGCCTCAAAGTCAGGACTTTTCAAACTGCTTTTTGTAACTAATTAATGGGTCATGAAATCAATTTAGTGGGTCATAAATAATAGTAAAAAAAATGTAAAGGTGGATATTTTTTTCCTGAACTTTGTTTCAAATACATATATACACATACATTTGTGTATTCTGGGTCATTATGTAAAATCTATTTCTTACCATAGGTTCTACTCAAAAAGGTTTGAAAGCTAGTGCTTTTATGCTTTGCACATGACCCCAAGATCATCATATATAACTTAAGTAGACAAAGTAAGATGTGGCTGATGGAGTAGCTCAAGTGGTAGAGTACCTGCCTAGCAAGAGCAAGGTCCTGAGTTCCTTAGTACCAAAAAAAAAAAAAAGTAGGGTGTTAAGAAAATAGTGATGAATATGATCAAATTATTTATACTTGAAATATGAATGATACTCTTAACTCTTCCCTTGAAAGGTGTTTAAAAGCAAATGAGTATGTGAGTCAGAAATAATTTTGTACTACAGACCTTCTTGGTAGCTCTAGTTTTCCTCCAGCATCCCAGTTCCCTGAAAGAACTAGGTTTAGTTAGAACCAGAAACTCCTTTGCTGAAAGACTCCTGGTTTTTAGGTTACAATACACAGAAGTGGTAATCCCTTTGTAAGGAAAATGTACTTACAACCAAACGTACTCCTTCCATGCACACGTCCTGCTTATCAATTTATATTTATTTACATGTATATATTTAACCTATGCCTAGAAATACAACCATACACATCCACATCAAAGAGCCATAACTGGGCTAGGGATATAGCTTAGTGGTAGAGTATTTGCCTACCATGCATGAGGCCCCAGGTTCAATCCTTAGCACTGTTTAAAAAAAACAAAAAGCTGTAACATAAGCCCAAAGTTGATCTAAAAATGAGAAATATGGACTGGGGAGTGGTTCAAGTGGTACAGTGCATTTAGAAAGTGAGGCCCTGAGTTCAATCCCCAGTACACAAAATAAAAATAAAAATACCACAAAGTACCCAAGGAAATAGTATATGTGAGATAGGAAGGGGGGATATGGGAATGGTAGAATGGGCAAGGGGCGCAGGAATGTGGTAGATATGTTACACCAAGTGTTTATTACCTTGATGACTGGTAGTAATGAGAGTAGATGACAGAAGTGGTGTAGGGTATGGAGAAAACACTTCCCTAGTCAGCTGTACATAGCAGTACCACCCAGGAGTCTGCAGACAGTATTTGATTATGTCAGCACACAAACCACAAATTCCAGGTCCTAATTCCAGCCCTAGCTCCGCTTAACAGGTTGCCCTTATAATTTGTTGCTGCTTGTGTTATATTCTTAATTTATAGTTGAGAAATCAACAGAGGGCTTCCTTCCTAATGAATGTAAACACTCTTAACTGCCAATTCCAGTTCCAACAAAATAACTGGGTCAGAAACAAGGTTCAAAGAGTAGGAAGTTCAAAGCTGATGTGGTACAAACAGCCCTTTTTGAGATACTGATAAGTTTGAGTTATGTCTGAGTGACAGCAAGTTGTGCAAACTGCACAACCTTCCACCTCTAAATTCTACAAGTGAGGGAAAGGTAACATTTACTTGGAATAAAGATCATCTTGGTTAGATATGTAATAGGCAAATAATGACATTAGCCAAGGTTGTTTAAATATGAATTAATGCCTTTCCCATTATCTAGATTGTGTTAGTACCCTTTGGTGATATTACATGTTAGTGTCTCTACTGACTTCTGGATAAATTCTAAGCTTCTTTTTGGCATTTAAGCCCTTCCACATCTGCCCAACCTTATCTCAAACTTTTTACAGTTCAGGTCTCTAATCCTTTGCTCTTGCCCCAGTCATTTTTCCTTATCCCTTTAGATTTGCTTGATTTTTCCCCACCCCTAATCTCCTCTCCCAAGCTAAAGTTCTACACTACACCTTCATAAAAACTTCCAATCACTCAAATTATCTATCTCTCTACCTACCTATCTATCTCTGATCTCAACCTTTGAGTTCCTACAGGACTTGACAGCAATTCTGTGTGGTAGGCATTGTTGTCTTCATTTCATAGATAAGAACATTAGGCCCAGAGAGGTAAGTGGCTTGCCTAGGGTCTTACTTTGTGAGTAGTAGCTAGGTGGAGTCTGATTCTTTTGCCTTCAAAGCCTACACTCTTTTTCATTGTACCATGCTGCCTCCATGTATGAAAAACCATGGAGTAAGGATGTGGTGGTTAAAAAAAAAAAAGCCTATAAACCGGTTATAATACAGCTTGTTATGACATAAATTCAGACACATCACATCCTTTGAACCAGGTGGGTAATAAACGCTTGGAACAGCATGGAGTTTTTAAGGGGGTTGTCAGTCCTGTTTCCCAAGTTCAGTATAAAAATGGTATTCCAGGGTGACAGGTGGGTGGCTAGGGGTGGGGAGAAGCAACACGATTTAGAAGGAAATACCAGAAACGGGACAGAAAAGAGATGAAATGTAATATAACCTGGCAATGCCCACAATAGAATTAGAATATGATGGTATGGCTATGGTGCTGAGGAGGCCCATAGGGCTAAAATAACCCAAGTTAGGGGGCCAATGCCTACCGATAAGCGCGCATGTGTGGGGGCTGTTAATAACAGATAGCAGTACACATGGCCAGAGTGGAACTCAAGAGAGCGGCATATGGACACAGGTCGTAGAACATGGCATAATGACAAGGCGGGATGCAGAATGTGGGGCCAGCGGGCACAGCAAGGGTCGAAGAGAAAGGTGATGTTAGAGGTTCAGAGGGCACAGCGTCCCCAGACTCCAGACAGGACTGCTGTGCTCCGGGCAAAAGCTGGTTGGTGTTCTAGGATCCACACCCGCAACCCGCAAAGCCCTCTTGGGTTGCTCCGAGCAGAGAGGGAGGTTCCGTCCCCATTCCTCCTCTATTTCCCCGGGACTCCGCGAAGGGGAGGAGGGAGGCAGGAGGGTCCTTACCCAGGAAGATGGAGATGATGAGCCGCAGCGCCTGTTCCGACGCGCCCAGGGACGTCGCCAACTTGTTAAGGCTCAGCTCCTCGAAATCCGGCTGCAGCCCCCTCATCTGCTCCATCGCGGCTCCCACGTCCCCCTCTGCTACGGACGCCATCTTAACTGCGGGCGCCCCCCGGGGACCCCCAGCTCCGCGCGCCCCGAATGTGGGCAAAACGCTGTGGCTTCACCCCTAATTCCGGCTGGGGGCCCGCCCACGGCGTGCGCATTGGCTGTGGGCCCGCCCAGCGCCGCCAGGCCCACATGATTATTGGTCAAACCGGGAAGGGGGCGGGGACTAGCTCAACAAGGTAGGAGGAGGGCGGGTCCGAACGTTTGTAAGGCAAAGGTGACTCCTGTCTAGAAGGGAAACCAGGCAGGTCCGGGACGGGCGGGGTCGGGAATCGGCCCCGGGGCTGGTATTAAAAAAGGCTGAAGTGCACGGCGTGGTGATTGTACAACTCTGTCCTAACTGCTCGGGGGAGGAGTCAGTCGGGCCGAGTGTCCGGCAGGCTTGCTTGCTGCCTTCCCATTGGCTGAGACGGGAGCAGGCGAGAGTCGGGGCGGGGGGGGGGGCGACCGTCACCCGACCGCGAGGTTACTCGCGGTCACCGGCGCGCTGGGGTTACTGGGGCATGTAACGGAGAGGCGGGAATGCCTGCCGCAGCTTCGCGAGCGCCTCCTAACGGTGCCTCCCGAGGTCTTGGGGTCCGGAGCCGTTAGGCACGCCATCCGCTCCCGAGGGGTCTGCGACAACCCTGTGCCCCAGGAGCCCTGTCTTTTTATTCTATTATCCCTTCTCTGTCAGCTTTCCGTTGTGCTGGAAGCGAACCCCGGGCATCCGGCATGCCAAGCAAGCTCTCTACCACTGAGGTGCAGCCCCAGTCCACAATGCGATGAGATGAAGATATGCCCGTTCAACACTTGCTATTTTAATTAACATCTCAACTAGTTTTGTCACTATGTGATACAAATTCGAACAGTATAGAAACATGAATCAAATTAAGAGTCTTTTCTTCTTACGCTGCTTTCCATTCTCACTTCCTGGGGGTAACCCTATTCAGTCAGATTGCGTTAGAAAGAAAGAAAGAAAAAAGAGAAAGAAAAAAGAAAGAAAGGAAAGAAAGAAAAAAAAGAAAAAGAAAGAAAGAAAGAAAGAGAAGTGTTGAGTACTCATGTGCCAGAGACTGCTGGGTTTGGGAATATAACCATGACTCAGAAGCCAGGAAGTGGAATGATGCACAAATAGTAGCATTAATTAATTGAAAGTGAGGGCACATGCTCTCAAGAAATGGGTTAAAGTTCTATGATATGAGCATATGTAACAGGAACACACTAAAGGTGTCTTGTAATAACGAGTTTGTGAAGCATTCTTGTACAATGACAACTTACATACTTCACAGCAGTTAGCACTTTTTTTTTTTAGCGGTACTGGGGTTTGAACTCAGGGCCTTGTGCTTGCTAGGAGGTGCTGTACCACTTGAGCTACACCCCAGCCCCTACTTTGCACTTTTTAAAAAAAATTTTATTAGTATATGTTCATTGTATGGGGGGATTCATTGTGACTCACTTTGCAATTTTAAAGCACATTTATCCATATTATTACACTTAATTTGGCTGTGCAACAGGATTTTTATTATTATGGTGTTCTCTTACAGACACAGAGAAATTTAGGAACTTGCTAAAGTTCTGTTCCCAGTAAGTGGCAGAGACAGAATTTGAACCTTAGGTCTGTCAAATTCCCCCTCCTCCTCTTATAATATTATCTCCCCAGGTTAGAGTTGAAGAGCCTGACATATCTCTTCCTGATGGCATTACCTCCTTCCTTTCTGAGAACCAATATGTGATATATATTCACACATATCATATATATATGAATCCAATCTGAGTCAACCACTTGGCTGATTTTGGTATATATTTTCAAGTGTTTTTCTGGGTTTTTTGTGGGACAGGGTTTCTTCTTTGCAAAGCAGGCACTCTACTTCTTGAGCCACACCTCCAGTCCACTTGGCTCTGGTTATTTTTGGAGATGGGTTCTCAAGAACTATTTGTCTGGGGTGGCCTCTAATCTCAGTCCTCCACATCTCAGTCTGCCAAGTATTACAGTTGTGAGCCACTGGTGCCCAGCTTCCTCCTCCTCCTCTCCCCCTCCCCCGCCTTCCTTCCTCTCTTCCTTCTCCTTCTTCTGTTTTTTGTATTATCTTTAAATTGTGGTGATGTGGATTGAACCCAGGGTTTTGAACATGGTAGACATGGTGATTTGCCACTGAGCTGCATACACCACCCCCAGCTCATGACTTTGGTATTTATCAATCCATTGCCTGTTTTTATACTTTCAGAAACAATATGGGGTATAATTCGCATGCTTTAAAACTTTATATTAATGGTATTGCAATGAATTTATCATTTGCAATTTGGTGATTTTTTTGGCTTTTGGCTTTTTTTCGGGGGAGGCAGGGGAGTGTCTAGTTGTCTGGAGCTCAAGATCATCCTGCATCTGCCTCAGGAGAACAGGGATTATAGATGTGTACCACTATGCCTGGCTTTTGCAATTTGTTTTTATGTTTGACATCTTTATTGAGATGTATTCATCAAACAGTATAGAAACATGTAGCTGTAAACATTCATCCTAACTGGGATGTAACATTCCATTGTATGTTTCTACCATAATTAATCTTCCATGATAATATTGAGGAACACTTGTATTGTTTTCTCTTTATTTCCTTATTTACTTAACTGACATATTGATTTATTTCTCTTACAAACATTACTGTAATGGACATTCTCCTTTAAGCAAAGTTAGGGTTTCTCTAGGATTGTGATTTTTAATTTTAAAAAAATTAACTGGGATATGCTGTAAAAAAACACATTGCTACTCACTACACATTACATGTTTATGCAATACACACAAATACATATACTGTTCACATGCATGTATGCATTGCACACTGCCATGTATGTATGTGTTCTCTGATAATTTCTATTCTAGTTCATTTTTCAATATTGCTGGCCAGGGCCCACTAATTTCATTGCAGTATTTATTAGTAGTTCGTTATCCTCAGCTTAGAAACACTCCTTTAGGATTTGTAACCAGGAAGGGAGTTACAGATTGTAAGGTATACACACTTTCAACTTTACTAGATTTTGCATAATTAAAGTATTTGGCTCAATGTTATTTAAGACTCTTAAAATCTTTGAGTTGCTAAGTCAAGCAAAATATATTTGTTAAAGCATTTAGTTAGCAAGACCCTGTTAAAAAATATAGAAAGGGCTTGGAGATGTAGCTCAGTGGTAGACTGCTTGCCTAGCATGGGTGAAGCCCTGGGAAAAGAAAGAAAGAAAGAGAGAAAGAGAGAAAGAGAGAAAGAGAGAAAGAGAAAGAGAGAAAGAGAGGAGAGAGAGAGAGAGAGAGAGAGAGAGAGAGAGAGAGAGAGAGAGAAAGAAGAAAGAAAGAAAGAAAGAAAGAGAGAAAGAGAGAGAGAGAGAAAGAAAGAAGAAAGAAAGAAAGAAAGGAAAGAGAGAGAGAGAGAGAGAAAGAAAGAAAGAAAGAAAGAAAGAAAGAAGGGAAGGAAGGAAGGAAGGAAGGAAGGAAGGAAGGAAGGGAAATTAAAAACTAAAATAGTTTTTAGTGCAATTAATTTGTGTTAATAAAAAAGGATGGGAAAGTATATAAAGTAGTTTCTCTTTGTGTTATATAACCAGATGACATGTGCCCCCTTCTTGTCTCTCTGGCTCTGTTGACACAACAGGTGCTTATTTGCTTTTCTCCTCAGGTGTGTTTGGTCAACCACATTCTCTTCATTCTTCCGGGTGTGCCAGAGCAGCACCTCTGTCACCAATTACAGTAGCTTGTGAGTGTGAGAAGACAAGATTAAAATTTAGGACCTTGGACTGGAGACTTGACCCAAGTGGTAGAGCACTTGCCCAGCAAGCTTGAGGCCCTGAGTTCAATCCCCAGTACCACAAAACTAAATGAATGAAATAAAATCCACAAAAGATTATGAGGTCTATTGTTTTATAATAAAAGCACATTTATCTTCAAATATTTCTTTTTTTTTTTTTTGACATTACTGGGATTTGAACTGAGAGACTCATACTTGCCAGGCAGGTGCTCTTACCACTTGAGCCATTTCACTGCTCTTTTTTTGTGATGGGTTTTTTCGAGATAGGGTCTCCTGAATTATTTCCCTGAGCTGGCTTCAAATCATGATCTGCCTGATCTCTGCCTCCTCAGCTAGGATTACAGGCATGAACCACTAGCACCCTGCAGTAGTACCCACCATTCTTCATTCTCATTAGAAATTAATATTTATTTGCATCATTTATAAAACTCACACAAGGGCCTCAACTATTCCTTAATAGTTATATTCACTCTCCCTTCTCTGATTCATATTTTTAATTTCCAAAAACTTGTCTATATGCTGGGATAGCTTATTTTTGTTTCATGGATACTATCTGCTGTCTTAGCCTTCTGATAACAATAATTGAGGACTGTGGTGTGGATTTTCTTTTTCTTTTTAAAATTCATTCCTCTTATTTCCTACATTTTCCTTTGGATTTTGCTTACTTTTTCTTCTTTGGTCTCTTTACCATTGTAAGTGTCCTTTCATATGCCAGCAGAACATTTAAAAGAACATTGATTGAGGGATTGGAGGTGTGGTTCAAGCAATAGAGCTCCCGCTTTGCAATCATGAAGCCCTGAATTCAAACCCCATTCCCATCAAAAAAACAAAACAAAAAGATCCCCCCCCAAAAAACCCCAAAAAGTTGATTGAGGACTGGAAGTGTAGAGCCCTTGCCTAGCATGTGCAAAGCCCTAGTTTCAGTCCTCAGGTGTGAGGGTTATAGAGCATCTGCCTTTAGGTAGGCCTTATGGTGCCGATTTGTATTTCTAGAACTTCAGAGGCAAGAGGAACATGAGTTTGAAGTCATTCTGGGTTATACAGCAACATTAGGTCTCAAAAGAAAACAGTTCTGAAAAAAATGCTTTCAAGTATACCAGGCACAAGTGGCTCATACTGTAATCCTAGCTATTTGAGAGGCTGTGATCAGGAGGATCGAGGGCAAATAGTTCTCGATACCCCATCGCCAAAATAACCAGAGCAAAATGGACTGGAGTTGTGGCTGAAGTGGTAGAGCACCTGCTTTGCAAGAGTGAAGCCCTGAGTTCAAACTTCAGTA